CTTGGGCATATTGGCATTAAGGAATTGTTTCCAAGATTTGCAAAGTTGCCACCTGGCGTTCTGTTAATATGTTATACCAGGTGTACATTGTGGCCTCATCTGATGCCAGCTTTGAGCGTGAGGTCCTTCAAGCAGCTTTTTGAGTTGCAGACAGTCCCCAGTTCTCCGTTGTGTGTGTGTGTTTTTTTTTTTTTTTTTCTTTTGGCATATTAGTTCTTTGTCCACCACTCATTTGAACTGCTTTTGGATGTCTTTGAAGGTTAAAGAATTCCTGTGTCCCTGAATGGATGGAAAAGGAAATAGGAATGTTGTACTCATAAAATCCTTTCCTTGGAGTCCATTAAAGGACACGGGTCCCACACCTCTGTGTTTATGATCATGCTCTCTGTACTGCTTTGCTACAAAACTGAAACATACTGGTAGTGGATGGAGTTATTAATATTATACAGGATTTATATAGCGCAAACAGTTTGCACAGCGCTTTACAATATAAGGAAGACATTACAAGCACAATACAATTCAAGACAAGATAGTAAGGAGGGCCCTGCCCTTGAGGGTTTATAATCTAAATCCTGGGCTGGTCTGCAGTTTTATTGTTTGCCGGTGTCCGGTCCTCCCGTAGAGAGCTGTATAACCCAGAGGTTAAAGACTTCCCGGTGTCCACCTCTACTGGATGTAATACTAGCTTCAAAACAGGCACAGAACTGTTCACATATTGCAGAGCACAACCAACCAGCATGACATTTGAAAGTCGATCTTTTGAAAAAGAATAGATTGTCAAGCTGTTTTTTGTTATGCTAAGAAGAAAAAGGATCTAGCTTATTCTATTATGTTACTGCATTACAACACTGGTTAAATTGGGCTTTATGGTACCCCTGGTCTCGTTTGTCCTTTAAGGGCTAAGCCACGTTGACACTTTTTTTTAATCTCTTGGAACTAAACAATATAACCTCTTATTGCTTTGTTTACACTATACTGAAAACAATGTGCTCCTAATGGCATGGTTGTCAACAAGAGGGCTTGTCAGCAACAGATTTAAATTATGCAGTTTACCCTTTAGACTGCAAATGATGACACTTGCACAGTGAAACTAATTACTTTGTGTTCTCGTATCCGCTTCCACCCAGCATTGAATTGTTAGTGTCTTGCTGCATGAATTAAAGTGACTGTAAACCCAAAGATACTTATTGATCAAAAGTGGTCTAGGCAGCCCTCGGGCCTTCCAGATTGCATCTTGGGAGATGGATCTCCTGAGGCTTCCACCTCCATAGCTTCACAAAAAACAGTTTTTACAAAAACTGTGCACCATCTTTCCCCCACTGGTCAAAGGTATTTTTTGCTTTACTGAAATGAGCCAGGTTTTATTTTAGAGTGTCTGAAAAAGCCCTCTCTTTTCTGTTCTTTGCACCATTATATTGCAGTAATTGTCTGCCTATCATGCACTATTGTAATAGAGATTTTATAGAAAAATGCAGGGCTTCTTGCTCAATGGGGTCTGTGGTTTTACATGTAGTAATCCCTGCAACCCAGGTGACCAACACGTAGTCTGTCAACGCTTGGCGTGTAGACTGCTGTGCTACAGGTTTAGAGGACAGTGGGCTGCAGACTGCATCTCAGCAGCTGTAATGGTCTTTTGCACAGGATCCGCCAGTTGTCAGTGATGGCTGCTGTTCAGCATTAAGAGCTCAATTAGCTTGCCCTTGGTTTTGCAATCCTGCTTCAGAGCGTTCCTTAGCAGAACACAGTGCTCCCACATTACGTTAAAGGAGACGTGCTGTGACTTCACCAGTAAAACTATTGGCACTTCCTGTGAGCCCAGCTACCTTTTTATCAAGCTTTATCCTACATATCCTTGCAACAGCAGTTTACTACAGTGGTGGTCTGATTACAGCAAGCAATGGATCACTATTAAAATTGAACTGTTGCTGCAGGGGTGCATGGGGGCTGCATCAAGTCTCCCCAAGTGCAAAGAAAATATAAATGAATCAAAATTAATACATTTATTAATTCAGTAAAAATAACCTCTCTTCTCATGTATCCCTGGGCCCCAACAAATATTTCAGTCTTTCTGTTCTGGATAACATTAGCTTTAGACTACATTGCCGTCAAACATATGCATAAGCAAGCGCAACATAATTCAGACTTGTAACTATCTCAATTTTTGTGAAGTTAATTTCTGTCCACACAAACTCAACTTGATCTCATTTTACTATTACATTAACAATTTACACAAACATTTTTTTTTCTTTGGCACATCATGATGTACGTTTGCAATTAAAAGATCTCCTAAATTAAAACTTTAACTTTGTCACATAGCCAGTCAGGGAACTGTAGGAGAAAACTATTAAAAAAGCAACATTCTAGAATTGTGCCAGGTTGTCCAAAATAAAGGTAGAACACTTTTTTATTTTATTTGTACCATCCTAAGGCTTAATAAAGGCACATTTACAAAAAATAAAGTTAGCCATAGACGGATTGAATTGCGGCCATTAGTCTTGCTGAATTAGTCTAAATTCGATAAATATTAGACCCTTTTAGTATCACCCAGGCACTCTTTAGCATGATTGTTGAAACGTTCAGGCGTGCTAAATGAGAAAAAGGTGTATGGCCAGTTAAAGGATAAGTTCACCTTTTGCAAAAATTAAAGAAAAACATAATATATAAAAAAGATGCATTTCTTTAGCATTCAAGTCTGGAAAGCATTGCAATTGTGATCACTCGATCACAGCTGCAAAGCTCAGGCTTCTTCACATTCTCTCCCAGGCAGAGCTCATACTGAGGTACAGAGTTTATTAGGAGAGACGAGGGAAGGACGGCTGGACTTCAAACTGTATTAAATCCCCTCATACAGCGTCCAATCGTCCTCACTCTAGGTAGAGCTGTCCATATTCCCGCATCTATATTCCTGTATAAAAATGTGCAGAAGCCTGAGCTTTGCGGCTGTGATCCAGTGATCACGATTGCAATGCTTTCCAGGCTTGAATGCAAATATTAAAGAAACGCATATTTTT